TATACACGATTAATGGTTACGATTGTTAGATTATATATATTATATTATATTATAATTATATAATAATTATGTATTACATAATATTATATTATATAGATTATATAATATAATAATAATATATTATAGATTATATAATAATTATATATTAGATTATATTATAATATCTTGTCACAAAGGTTCCATCGAATTGAAAGTAAAAAATATTGAATCGAATAATTTTTTCATTTAATTCAACCTTCCGCTTATAATAATTTTCATTTGAACGTGGTATTTCGAACTGCAAACAATTTCTAAACTTATCTCGCGGCACAGAAAATACGCGATCTCGAATTTAGTCAAGTTTATACAAGTTTTAAAACTGTTCCTTGTGTTAATTTACCGTGCCGCAGACACACGCGGGCACGGTTCTGCGTCAAGAAAGATCAAGAGTGCTATAAAATGCATAAAACCCACCGCGTTCTAAAGATATGAGAGGAAATTCGCGTTATTTCTGCGGCGGCCACGAAGATAACGGTTACAAGTGTCCGTGGAAGAAATCCGAGTTGAATCATGCTCGGCTAGGCTGGTAAAAACGAGCAGCGACGTAAACGTTGGTCCGGGTCGAATCGTAACAAGGGAAAATCGTCGGTCGATCGAAGATGAAAAAGCGCAAGCTCGGTCGAGCGTTAGAATCCGTTAGAGAGGATTTCCGTGTAGGCAAACACGGGGCTGAGTGCACTGTATATGCTCTCTCTTGCTCTCTCTCTCTCTCTCTCTCTCTCTCTCTCTCACTATCTATTTCTCTCTCTCCCCTGCTCCCTCGTTTCGTCTACGTCGTCGTCCCGTTTCGCTCTCCTCCGCCTTATCAGGGCCCGGCTGGCCTAACTCCTCTTCGCGTGTACGTGCGGGGAACGCGGCCACCGGTCACGTTCGCGCGAGTGTGCAATCTGTTTAAGGCACAATGCCCCTTAATTTCGCCTCGTTATATGCTCTCGTTACGGGAAATCCCGTCTGTCGCGATACCAAAGGTATATCGCGCCTATCGGTTTGATCCATCGCTGCGACCCGTCCACGCCGGAAACCGCAGCTATTGTAATTGCTTCGGGGATCGGGCCGCGATCAAAACTCATCCCTAAGAATTCCAGCGAGGGTACACTCTCTGCACCTCATCGATGATTTTTTTTATTATTTTTCATCGGTTATCCATTTCTATTTCGAACAACCCCAAGAAGTGCCTTTTAGCGAAATATTCGGCAAGACGATTCTTTAGCGATTATATGCTTTTTAAGTACATTGTTGTTGCAAGTGATCAGTAGACTATAGATATTTAACTCTCTGATGGTACTAAGATGTTTAATTTATTTCGTACGGGCAGATTCCATAGTCTCAATTTATGTGCATACTTCATTTTCCTAATTAAATAATCATCTTCCTATGCATTGTTTTACATTTCTTTTGTCTTCACATCGATTTACAACAGTGTCAATAATATATAATAATATAATATATAATAATATAATAATATATATAATAATAATAATATATATTCCTC